CCGTCAAATTGGAATAGACTAAATTATTTTTACCACGCTTTCACACATCACATCTTGTATAACTATAAAGGTGTAAACGTAGATTGCCCTTAATCCACTTTAAAATATTGAACCCGATAACGTTTCCGAATTGCGTATCTCTCGGCAAATCAAAACGCCAAACTCAGGCCTTTTCTAAATAAATGTTTGATAATACGGAGATAAACGAAGGCAGGAGAGGAGGAGCTGCATTAATGAAAATTGAAAGCAAAGGGGCTGCGCCGCGTTACGCTTGGCGATTAGTCCCAAAGAAAATTCTCGGATAATTTCGATTATTAAGTGAAATATTAGATGGTTTCAGAACAGCCAACTGTACAGTTTCCTAGAGGTAATTTCTGGCACAACATATGAAAAATTGTCTTGAAATATCCATCAATATAGGAATGCCTGCGGGGGTTCCACATTCTCAAGTACATATAATTTTTTTTAATTTAAACATCGCCTCAGGAAGAGGAAGGAAAATAATGAAAAGACGTCTTCGTACGCACGTAATTTAAATGGTCCGCTTTGACAATGAGTAATCCCCGCCATTTGTTTGCAACCACTTCAGGTGGTGGTAAATATCGTTGTCAACTTTTAAATAAAACAGAGTACGTCGTTTATTCCCGTAAGAACTGCATAATGAATGCGCGATTTTCCATTACGTTAAAACGAATCGCGGGAAAAAACTCTATTTAATTACATCGACGATCACTTAAAGAGTGCGTTCGATCGTGTTGCATTTATAATGTTAATTAAATAATTTGAAAGCAAACTGGAGTGATACTTCGCTTTATAAATCTTTAAGCTTGTTCTCGCGTACAAAACGCAAAGTTTTGAAAATTGAGTTAAATGAGGGTTATGATGAAAAGAAAACAAAAGGAAAGGCAACGCACTAAACAATACAAAGCTACAACCATATAGAATATAAAGTGCGAATTAACTTTGAAATTAAGATTGAATTAATAACGAGTACGGTTTGATAATAAATTCGCGCAAGCTTTACGAGGGCCACTGAAAGAGAAAATAGCATTTAAAATTGTCTTAAAAAAGTTAAAATATTGCACATGTTAATCACGTTTAGGATTAGCTCCATCTCATGTAGGTACCTAGTTGACACTCATTTTGTTTTTATTTGTTACTCAAACACAAATGCTGGACGCCTTTAGTTTCGAAGAAGAAGATTTACGCGGGGAAATTCGTTTATGCCAATAAAAGC